CAAAAAAAACTAGCTGCCTGCCCAACAGATTAATAGATACAAGATACTCAAGTCTGCAGCAGTTAGCTGAACACAGAAAATGATCTTACATGTATACATCCCATTAAGATCTGTGAACAATTTGTAGTTCTCTATAGAAAAATGGATCCAAAACAGCAGTTTGGCAGAAAGTGAGGACAGGCACATAAAAGAGAATTTAAGCAACACAGAAGACTTTCAGACTCTTGAGGCAATTCATAAGGTTGCTTCAAGATGGAGATTTATTGCCCATTTATAACAAACAAGTGGTGATTTCAAGACAAATATAATAATTAAACATACAAGCTCTGGAATTGTACAAAGATACTCATTTCTTGTGGTTGATGTCCATCATTAAAAACAGTGCTAGCTTAAGGGACCTTTGCAAAGATGCAGTGTATCTCCTCCAGTTACAAGGGCACATGACTGAACAGGTAAGACACAGATTCACCATTGTGTGTTCTTCGAATTGCCTCTGCCAGGATCATGGATATGTCAATAAACTGAAAGAAAAATCAATAAAACAAATTTTATGGGATGCCAAGAACAATAAAACTATGCAGTTTATAAACATATAGACAAACATTCAATCTACCATTGTGCTCTCTTATTTCTAGGAAGAATTATAACATTAAAACTTCAGGTATGGAACATATACATAATAACTGCACTGATATAAAGTAAAACTCAAAAACTGAGTAAGAAAGCATTGACTAAGATTGCTGCACAGTAATACCGTTAAGGCTTCTGATAAAAGGCATGTTGTGAAAAACCCCCACTATTCTTGCCATCAGATGGCAGTGTCTGCTTGACACAAATACAGTTTAGAGGAAGTACACCTTTTAAGTGCTCATCTTGTTTCAATAAATACCAAATAAATGTTAGGCTTTTAAAAAAATCCAATAATGCATTAAAACCCCCAATCTTTTATGCTTTTTCCACTCTATACTAAAGAAAACCTTCAATGAAACACATGACTTCCCAGAACAACTCCATTAGTGTTTTTCAAGAAAAAAGTCTAAGATTTCTGTGGCCTCCACAATAACATAAGTTCCTGCATGAAAATATTGTATGATAAATATTGATTAAAAAAACCCCCACCAAAATCCAGTCAATTTTACATTTGCCACTCCTTCACAAGCAAGCAAACCAGAGTTTAAAGAAATTAAACAAAAATACCACTGTACCTGTATTTTTGGGCAGTGTTTCATTTTCTCCTCTTGGGGGATTGTATTGGTCACCACAACAGCCTCAAACGATGCATTATTAATCCGAGAGAGGGCAGGACCAGAAAAGATGCCATGAGTGAGAATGGCATAAACTTTAGTAGCTCCAGCAGACATCAACCTGTAGAACACACAAGAAAAGTATGACATGATGCATGTTTACATACTTAGCTATAGATAAAGCCAGATATAAATCTCTAAAATACATTTTACTCACAAATTCCTACACATAAAATACCTACAAAATAATTCAGACATTTGTATAACCTGAAAAAGTTTAGAATTGTCTCAAAAAAAAACCCCAACCCCATACACTGATAATTAAATAAAAGAGTTCTTATTTGCAGCAGCAATACTAATTTAAATTGCTGCATTTTGACCCTATCAGCACAACATACAACTGAACTCCAGTACAAGTTTTCTATCTTAAAATCAAGTAGGTTGGATGGCAGCATTCACAACCCTATTGTGTCTCCATTATCGTCCACCTTTATTTTCATCTGCAATTCAAAGAGTTCTGCTTGGAAGGAGTTTCTGAGGAAGAACAAATGCTAATGATTAAAAGCCTAGCTTGCTGCAAGGTTGAGAGAAGACATGCTGCTGATGCAAGCACTCAGCGAACTGGTGCAGCAGAGGAGGAAGAAAAAAGAAAGTATAAATCAAAGAACTAGAACACCTTGTGAATAAGTCAAAATATCTTCAATTTGTTTTTTTACTGGCCTCGTGCCTCTAAATGCTCAGCTATGTCCTAACTGCTTTTCTAGCCTTACAAACAGAGACCCTGAAGAATGGCATTTTATCGGATCATCACAAAGGCACAGGAGGAGTCATAAGAGAGGGGAAAAAAAAACCCACAGAAACATCATCTCATTTTGAATGACTAAACAAAATCAAAGTTTTCTGGTCATACTCAGCAATACATTTAGTAGCTGCAAGGAGGTAAGTAACCTCCAAGGAGGATGCAGCTTGACAGGGTGGGTACCAAGGGTACGTGCTTAAGTTTGTACTTAAGTAAGTTGATCTGCTGTATCTGAAAATACATTTCTTAGTTCATCTGCTTGATATGCATCTAGGTTGCTAAGATAAAAGGAGTTCTAAGAAGTATTTTGGTGATCAAGTCTAATTAAACACAAAGTACATCCCACCCAGATTTGACTTTAATGAAAAGCACTACTTCATGCCAACAATATGATATAAGGCAGTATCACTCAAGCAAATGCATCTTTCTTAGTGAACACTGCAGATACATTGAAGGTGTTTGATGGTTTTAAAATTTGGTCTCTAGAAATCTACTGCAGGTAAATAAAGAGTGCTTCTTTCATAACAGGAAAAAAATAACGGCCTTCTTTTTGACAGGAATTAACTTCCTCTAAGCACAGAAGTATTAAAAAAAATATTGTTGGCTAGGCAGATTGTGATTCTGACTGTGAAGTGCATTAGACAGCCCAAATCTCTTTCAAGTTATATGACATTTTATTTATTCTGTGCTCTTCCTAAAAACAAATAATGTATTTCTGTAAATATTTTCTCATTTCCATGTTTTAAAGAAGGACACGTTTGATCACAGAACTGTGACCTATAGACTCAAGGATCAGAATGACTTCATGCTACAGATGTCAGGCTGGGTTATAGGCATGCAGGAAGACTGCATTCATCAGCTGTCTCCAGGTTGCAGTACAGTGAGAACAGTGGGCCAGTTCACAATAATACTTACTTCTCTGCTGCATGACATATTGTGCCACATGTGTCAGCCATATCATCGACAAGAATTGCTACTCTATCTTTCACGTCACCAACCAAGACCATTCTGTCCACTTCATTTGCCTTCTTTCTTTCCTTATGAATGAGAGCAAATTCCACATTCAGTCTATCAGCAATTGAAGTGACCCTGAGTTATGGGAAGAAATACACCACATTTAGAGAACCATTTTAAAAGAAAGAACAGTCATGCACATGTATTTGTCACAAAACACAGTTTTTGTTTCCTGGCTTTCAAATTACCACAGCAAAAACTTTTGCAAGGAATGAGACAGGTAGAAATAATCTTAATTCATTACTAATAAATACAACCAGAGTGTCTTAAGCTATGCTCCAAAAATTGATTTTTTTAATTGAATTGATTTTGGTTTTCTGTCATTAAGTGCCTGGCTTTGAAAACATTTCAGCTTTTCACAAGCTTTTATTAAGCTGCTGCAATACAAGTCACAATAGGTAATTTAAAGCAGAGGAAATTCTAAATCAATTCTAAGCCTACAGGAGCATGCACTTTAACATTCTAACTGAAAAATACCACTGCAGGATGTGAACCAAACCAAAGGGGAAAAACCAAAACAGGTAACAGAGATTAATAATTCTTTTCACAGTACTTGAATAGTAATCAAGTAGCTCACTTCATTAATAATTCCCTCAGCATACATCTGCTTGACAAAGATCTTTGAAAACTATTCAGGGTGACCTCTGGTGGCCAGACAAACTTCCAATAATAAATTTAACTTGTTATAGACTTCTGATTGCTTTCTTCAGTTTAATATAACAGAGCTGTTAGGTATCAAGACACAGGAATAAACAATTCCATGCTGTCTTTTTAAATGCTAGTGCAACCTTGTAACCTGTATTTTCAGAATATGTTTAGAGTGTTGTTAACAAGCTTCTTAACATGCATGGTTAATAGAGATTACAGTTTTGTTTCTTTACCACTTAAATAAGAAGGAGTTGTTACAGTATTTCAACAACTGTATAATAAACAAAAAATCCAAAAGTTTTGAAATTTTGTGTGAATAGTGTGATTTAATAGCAAGTCTCAATACCTCAGAGACATTAAGATATCAATAGAATTTGCATGTCTTATTTCAGTCACAACATTTAATAAGCTGGGGAACAAACAAGCAAATGGTAAGAAACAAAAAGAATTCAGATATTTTAAATAAGTGCAAGAACATGGATTTTTTTTTTAATTAATCCTTACTGATTTAAATTTTGAGCCAACTCACGTTCAATTTTCACATTCTATTCACTTTCCATTAAGTATTATGTTGTAGTTCTACATATTTTAAATGGAAAGGCCAAACCATATTCTTCACATTACATTGCGGGAGGTGAAGGAGAAGCTGTAACTTTATTGAAAGCAACATCTGCCCCTACTTAACCAGCAACTGTTTGGTTGCATTACAACAAAGATACTGAAGATAGATTGCAACTATCTATATTAAATACAGCGAGAGTGCTCTTCAAAAAATAAACCTTTATGATTAACTTAATAATACACAAATACTGGGTAGGGGAAAAATGCTGTCTTCTGACTTGAATTCTAAGCAAAGGTTGCATTTTGTTTAAAAACAAAACCGAACAAAAACAATTTTAAACAAAAAACAACTGTGAAAATAACAGTATCCAGACAGGAATGAACAAAGAAATTTAATCAACTGAGTCATCTGACCTTTAGAATGCTTTCTATAGTTTATATTCTTTACATCCTTAACTTGATTAATCTAAAAACGAACAACTATGGAGTTGTGATCAGTCTTATTTCCCTATTAATCATTACAACATGAACACTCACAAAAGACCCAAGGATTTCAATTAAAAGAAAATTATGACAATCTTTCACATTTTTGCCCATATTACATTTCAGACATATAAATTGCTATGGACTTACAGGATTATTACTTCATTTTTCTTTGTTCCCTTTGCAGCAGCAGCAGCATGACCAATAAAACTTGAGAATAAGCACCTTGCCTCAATGGCATGCTTTATCACCTCAGCAGCCAGTGTGCTACTGAGCTTTTGCATTGGTTTACACTCAATTGATACCAAATAAAAGATAGTCTGCTAAGTGAGTAACACATGCTGCGAATGAAGAAATGAACTAAGTTTTCTATTTTTTCCTTTTGCCACTTCATTCCCTTTTTTCAGTATTTATAATGCAAAACTCAGGGTCAATAGGTTTACAGCTCGAATGCAATAACATAAAGAAAAAGGAAATACGAGTCAAGCAAGCTCTTACCTAAATGCCAGCAGGTACAGTGGGAATAGGCCATATGTTTTGACAGAGAATGGAAGCTTAGGCAATTCCAGAGTGAAGCAGGAAGAGGTGCAGCAACTGGACTAAAGAAGCAAGCAGCAGGAAAAATCTCTCCCCTCCTGTGGAGGGATTCAGCTATTGAGGCCATATCCAGGGAGAGAGAAAAATATTTTCTTTAGAGTATAGAAAGGTCCTGAATGTTTTGAAGCACGAACAACATTGGAAGGACTATTGTTCTGTTTTTACAATGTAATTGGATTCATCAGTGATGTGCCCTATATCTTGCACATTTCAAGAGGAAAATAGAAGACTAGACAAACTAGTTCATTAACCACTAACTATATGTAAAACTAATAGTTTTAAGCTTGTATAGTACCTTTTTGCACCACCTGCATCAGGTGAGACTATGATACAGTTTCTCCACTCAGGAATGTTCTCTTTAATCCACTGCAGCACTGCAGGTTCTGCATACAGGTTATCTACTGGAATGTCAAAGAAACCCTAGTCCAAAAAAGAAAGAATTTCATGAATATATGTTTGTATCTTACCTGAAACAAAGACAAAGGGAAAGAATCAAGCCTTTGCCTTTCTGAATGGTAGAACTTGAATTAGTATTTTACACTGGCCTAATTCTGCCCTCTGATACTACTGTCAAATGCTGCTTAAGTCAAACAAATACTAAGGTCTCTAAAAATCTCACTCAAGAGTAGTGAATCAGAGAACAGATGTTCTCAATTGACATAAAAAAATCAGAAAAGGTGATCACCTTCAGGCACTCAAGTAAATTCATGCTAGTGAAAAGCTCTCAAAAAATCCAGTGAGTAATATGTAACTTTCATAAATTTCAACTGCTTGACATGAACAGCAGTATTTCAACACAGGGAAGACTCCAGCTAGTATTACTTGAGCAGTAGAACCTTTGTTTTTGTCCAAATTGTAAAGATAAGAAACCTATGTTAAACCACAAATGAAACTACTTCTTATTTGAGTGACAGCCATCTAGCATAAGAAGAAATTCTGATTAAACAGAGTGCCAGACCTGGAAGATAAGATATTTTCTAGAAAAAATAAGGTATCTTAAAACAAGGTACACACGAGAATGACAAATGATGTCTGCTCTATTACTGAGCAAAAAGTTTTGTGATTTGCTGGATTCAGCAGTAAGCCAGGTAAGTGTTGCCAACCTTCATCTCCACTTCTTTTAAGAGAATACTGTACCCTTGGCTGTAACAACAAAACTCTACCTAGGGCAACACTATAATTCTGACAAGACTCAGATTAAGAGAACTTGCCGCAAGCCAGTATATTTTATGTTCTGGAAGCTCTTACATTAGGCTTGGCAAATTCTACTGAAGACTCCAATGCACAAATATTTGAAATGCCTGCAAAATCACCCCATAAAAATCAAGACTGGTCTCTTTCTAAAAGGGAATTTAATTAGAAACAGGTATGGAGTCTTTCTCTGAACCCTGGGAGTCCTGTACATAGCCTATCAAAACAATGAGAAAACACAGAGAATTACTATTAGCCTTTCCCATCAGTTCAGTAGAGCTCCCAGGCACAACTAGTAAGAACCAATAGTTACCTGGATCTGAGAAGCGTGCAAGTCCATGGTGATGATGTGGTCAGCCCCTGCAACTGACAACATGTTGGCAACAAGTTTTGCAGAGATTGGTGCACGACTCTGAGGAATAAAGCACAAATGCTTTAATTTTAACAATATTTTGACTAGATTCAAGGAGTAAGTAGATTAGTTACTTTTACTGTTTTTTTTTCTTTAGAATATTTGGAATCTAGATATGAAAAGTTTCAGAACTTTTGCCAAATTATTGTGTCAATAACTTGTCTTGCTACTAGGGTTTTGAAACTCAGTAAAGTATTCAGGCATATCTAAGTCAGTTTGCACAGTCTGCCTAATAACGCTTTGTATTAAAAAGATATAAAATTGGGGATATAGTTTTCCAGTTCTTCTGCTTACAACTTTCGGATAGCTTTCCTATAGCAGAAGACAATCTCTGTTTCTCTAAGCCACTACCCTACACAGACATCCAACTCTAAAGCAGCTACCCTGTTCTAAAAGCACTGCAAAAACCATAGATCAAAGGCAAAGTGAACCCAACTTTTGAGAACACTGCTTTAAAACAATGTTAGCATCAAGCATTTCTTCATCACACATTAAAGTTTATAGCAGATCCTTACTGGTAAGGGTCTTCTACCCTAGCCTATTTATTCATTCTTTTTTTGTTAATTCATGTTTAATTCTTGCATGCAATTAGGAGTTTAGAATTCCCAAAAGGGACAGGAGGAATGAAAAAAAAACACTAAGAAGTGAAAAGAACAAAAGAAGAATAAAAATTTTATTAACAAGTTAATGCCAATGTCAAAAGCTCTTTAAAAGCATGCAGAACAAACAGCAAAGTTTAAAAAAAAAAAGAAAGATGGAAACTATGACTGGAAGATACCCCACTTTTGATTTTTGAGCAACTTCAAAGTTTTATCAGATTTTTTTAAGCTCTGTAAAAAGCAATGCTGCCCTGGACAGCTTTCTCTAACAGAAATACTAAACAAAACCCGCTGCCTTCTTTTTGCCAATCTTTAAATAGGGCTAATAGCTGGCAATAACATTAGCATGAAGGCAGAACTGCCATTCAGAGTCTCTCACTGGCAGACTGGTTTTTGCTGGCACAGTATTCTCTCCCGCTAACTCTCTTTATCAAACAGCCTCATTTAGCCTCCTAGGAACCTCCTCTCCACCCACACCCCACACACAATTACAGAGTATCTCTGCTTTACTTCCATTTATGCTCAAGGGCATAAATGACAATGACCTGAATCACTTCCAATTTAACCTGGATTCTTTTCCATCTGTGTCCTATCAAGGAACCAATATTTTCCTCAAAAGTTCTGCTAATTTAGGTGGAAACTTGGCATTTCTGTTTTAACCTACAGATTGATAACATACTTCCAGAACAGAAACTGAGATACTGCAGCCTTTCTCATGGCTAGATACAGTACATCACCATCATTACTGAAATTCTTCATTTTGAAAACCATGCCTTTTGGGCCCTGTGTTTCACAGAACATCACCACCATTTAGTCTGTGTAAGATACACAGAAGGTAGATGCAACAGCTAGCACTTCCCTAGATCTCTGCAATTCAGATGTATAAGATGCAGATTCCATAAGAATTTACCATTAGCACTTCAGCACAGTTGATTTTCCACTTACTGAGGACTGTGGTGCTCTTAATTTAAGTTCAGTTCTGTAAGGTCAAAGTTCTCCAAGGTTTTCTGGATATTTCTATTATTAGCAGCAAACTTTTTGTTCATGCCATTTGAATTCCTGATCATAGCATCTGACATTTTTAAGCTGGACTTCAAAATATTCTCAAATCTCTGGCAACATCTAACAAAAGAAAGACTTAGTACCTACTCTTTTTATTCTATCACAATGTCCTCTTACCAGCTCTTTGCAAAGATTTGGTTTAAGGCTTCCACTAAGCTGGACAAACAGGTGATGCTGAAATCAGAAGTTTGCTCCCCTGCTTGTCCCATCCCTTCTTTCCAGGCTAGACACTTCCACCACTTCCCTTGTGCTGCAGATCAGGACTTGTCTAAACCAACAGCAGCCATGTGAGTTAGCTGCTCAAGTGGAATGGAAGGGAAAAGAAGACGGCAAACCAGGACCACCCCCACTGGTAGAAACAACTAGTTCAGGCTGGCAGCTAAAGGTAAATTACATTCTTCTCAGAGTGTGGTTTGCCATTTTCACTCCATCCAGCACACTGAGTTTTGTCTTTGGTTTTTTTCATTTTGTTCAATGTGAATACCATTCAGTTTGTCTCATGTATCAGTACCATGAGTATCACCATCACAAAAAAGACCCAAACAAAGCACTTTTCTGCATCACATACTAATGTATACGTTACCAGTTTCAGCTGCTGGCCTTGCAGGCTGCCTTCCCAGAAGGAAGAACTTGAAGTTTTACCACTAGGTAACTTGTTTTAGCAGATATGCACACATCACAGATTGCCTATGTGTTGGTGGACAGAGGGTCTTGTAAGGAAAGTTAGCCAGACACCAATACCTGTTTTCTCAAGAATGGGCTAATAGGACATTAAGACAAAAGAAGTTTGCAGCTGACAGCTTCCTTTACCCAAAATTGTGTATCAAAAGAAAAACCACATGACATATTCAAAAGGATTTAATATTTGCATTAATATTAATTTAATATTGTTTGCATAGAACATAAGTTTTGTGCCACAGTATGATCCAAATTGAAGGTTATTTTAAAATCAAAGACAGTATATTCATGGGAACTTCAGATAACCTGACCTCATTATTCAGAAACTTGGATGACAAAGATGAGAACTCATGATTTGCTTTATATTGCTGTTTGTAAGGTTTGCTTCTGATGAGAGAGGTAAGAACAGAGATTCACAGCATTCATTGTTCCATTCTTTGATACAATTTTAGATTGGTTTCAGAATTATTAGTGTGAAATGCAGCATTAAATTAGGTACAGAAAGTAAATTGTAGAAAAATCACTTGAATTACCAGGAGCAAGAGGAATCCACAAAGCTAATGTAAACAACCTAACATGTAACTGTGCAATGGACACATAGCTGAAATTAAAAGTAGTCCACCAAGATCAAAGTTCTGTTGCCTTCAAGCATCCTATTACATTGTCTTGCTCAATATTCATCACATGCATGTTGAACAAAAAAAAAAAAAAAAAAAGATTTATAACTGGAACTTTCACTTCCAAGAAAGCCAGTTGTGAAGTGTATGGATACTGAATGTTCACTAATGTATTACCCAAATTTATCATTTCAAAAACGGGATATGCTTTGAAGCTTCAGAAGTTGACAGCCATTATCTCGAATGTCCAAATAAATTTTTAACCAGAATCTAGGAGTTTTCTTAAAGCAGATTATTCTAAAGGATTTCTGTCATGGCCTAGGTGAAACACAACTGAAATCAAGAAGTGAAACTGAAAATGTTCCTAGTTATACATAATATAACCCAGAAGTTTCACCCTTTAAGGCCACATTAATGGAAAATGCATAGTGTTAGATTTTTAAAAAAAAAAAAAAAAGATACCTACCCAACGCTCCACGGACCCCTTCTACAAATTAAAAAAACAAAGTTACATGAGTGGTAGAACACCAAACTCACCTGTCACTGTACTTCTAACTTATCTCAAAGGCATCTCTGCAGTATCCTACAGAAATGTGTCCTGCCCACAGCTTGAAAGGTTAGCATAATTACAGGATATATAAATGCAGTTATGGCCAAAGCACAGACACATCTGAGCTAATTTTAAGTTAGCTAGCTTGTGCATCAGAAATATTCTAGTTTAGGGTAGCACGTGATTGAGTCTAAATTAATTTGCCAACTTTTCTATGATTCTCAGTAAGCCTTTTTTTTAACTTCTACTTCCCATTTAAAGCTAGTCCATGTTTAGTGCTAAGATTTCCCAAGTAGATTACAAAGGCCTTGCTCAGAATAAGATTTGTACTGCTAGGCCCTCTCCTTACATAAACAAGTTAAGAGCACTTTTATTGTTCTCAGTAATCATAACTGCACGGAGGTATGAAGAATACATGGTTATTTTAAGCAGAAAGGACTCAGTCTATTTAGTTCTTAATGAGTTAAAGTCAATAACTTAAATTCAAACCAGAAAATAGCATTGCACTAGTGAAGATTATACTGCTTCAGTTCATAGTCAAGCAAACTACAGCAATATCTTTCACCACAGAAAAAATCTGTGTACAGTCATAGGAAGAAAATGGCTGGCACTTTACTGACACTTCAGGCAGCATACAAAGCTTGTGCACTCAACATGGGTCAAAGAACAAGTGATGTGATGCAATCCAACAGTAGGAGGAAAGATGTCCCTGTCAACGAGCTGCCCCATGTTGACAACTATATTATAGCTTATTTTGCAACATGGAGGTCAACTACCAAGGTTAACTTCCAAAGATGGCAAACATTTTCTCAACTGCAAAACAGAGGGGAGAAAAAAACCCCAACACAAACAAAAAACCCCATTTTGTCTAAAATTGTGGAATTAGAGACACAGAACAGCCTGGAAAAAAAAACTCTAAATCCCTGTTAATCAAAATCATTTTCCTAGGCTACCCATCTTCACATGCCATTTCCAAAATACAAAACGCTCCTTGATGGCATGCTGTGCCACCACATTGGGGGTTTAAGTGTCTCTTGGAAGTCTGCCAGATGGATTTGACTACCCTTGACAAGACATAATCTAGATGCATGGAAAATCTGGAATATACTCATCCTTTTCCTACACCAAGAACTTAGAGGATGGTCCAGCAGAATCTTCCCATATGAATCAGTTAAACCAAAACATAGTGAGATGTTTTCCTTCCTTTTCAACAAAATGTTTTTGGTTCACTTTCAAGGTCTTTTGATATAAAGAAGTATTTCACCTCTCCAGATCAAGGGAAAGCATTATTCAATACAAAACATGGCAAAAATGAAGTACCAAAAGATGCAGGCAAAGAACAGGGTATCACTATTTAACTCCTGAATTCCATTTTTGGAAGAATAACAAGTGGGTCTTGATAATATTAGTATGGTGTTACAGAGCCTGCACTTAAAGAATGAGCATACCAGAAAAAACCTCTTGTATTTAGTTTTGTTCTTAGATATCACAGGCTGAGCATTACATGTTTTGTAATAACTGCTATTATTTTTAGCTTCTGCATTACTTCTCGGTCTGTTATTTTTTTTAATAAAAGAATATAAAGAACAACAGAAGGCTTTCAGGATGGGCCTGATGCCCAAAGTGAAAGGGAGGGGGCAGTGCATTTATGGGAAGTACAGGAGAGAGGCAATTTTCCCAAAAATACAATCACTGCAATCCGATCTTTAAAGCCAAAATCACATTTCTTATTACTTCTTTTCAAATGAGTTTAGGTAAAAGAAACATTCACATAACCAATCAGAGATAGAAAGTCTAGTTATCTATTTTTTAAAATCAGTCTTACTTGCCATAGAGGGTTTGTTACTGTGTTACCAACTTGGTTGAACTGATATATTTATCAGTTATGACAGATCAAATTCAGGAAAAGGACACTAAAATCAGAAGAGTATTTATGGGGTTTCCATACAATTTCTGGTCTGCATAAATCAAACTAATTGTTACAAATATAAAAACTTTTTTTAAATCTGTCTGGTAGCAAAAAATAATGTTTTTATTAATTATGTACTGAACTGCAGATTTTATCAGTTCCTTCCATTTCACTCTGTTTAACCATATAGGCTAAAACCTACCTGCATTACTGTTACAGCAGTTCAAATTTAGGATTTAATTCTTTGCAATTAAATTGCTAAAAAGGATGTATCCTCTTCATATATAGACATGGAAAAAACCCCAAACAAACCAACCCCAAAACTTCAAAAATGCAGGCAAAACCAATCCCATAAGGTGAGGTTTGCTAGCAAAGTACTCTGCAATATACCACACACATATAATGTACCTCCTTTTGCAAACTGAAGGCATGTCAATTAGCAAAACACAAGCAAATAAAAATTGTCTCACTTCATTCACTTACAAATAAATTAACTGAACATTTTACCAAAAAAAAAAAAAAAGAGATGGAGGGGAGGGGGATCAAATCTTTCAAATCACTTAAATATTTATGAAAATTATTAATCTCCAAAAATTCCAAGTGAGCAAGCTGAACAAGAGCCTTCCAAAATGACACAGTTCTTACCGACCTTGTCTTTCTTATCTTGCCTGGCATATGGAAAACATGGAATTACAGCAGTCACTCTGGAGGATGACGCAATCTTGCAAGCATTGATCATGATGAGTAGTTCCATTAAGTTGTCATTTATTTCTCCACAGCCACTCTGGATAATATATACATCTTCCCCTCTCACACTTTCACCAATCTCTACACTGAAAGAGCAAGAGATGATAATTTCAACACCTGAATTACTTGAAAAGCATTATTAAAGAATAAAAAAAAAACCAAAAACCAGTTTTGTTTTAACAAACTTCCATAGGTTTTCCATAAACTCTCCATTTAGATTAGGATTTTCTTTTTTTAACAGCAATTTGGATAACTGCCTCCTTGTAACAAAGACTATTACAAGATAAGCCAGTCTAAAATTTACTTTAGCCTAAATATCTTCTTCATAAGGTGAACACCAACCAACACATAATTACAGCTATAACAGTGATGCAGCTCACATTGTTATTAAATTTGATACTGCTTTTTTTTTAGTCTATATGTTCTTTGTCCTTGCCATCTCCCAGGTAGATGGCCATTTAAAGAATAACCTAGATGATAAGTACAGAAATAGCATATTCAACTTCAGGCATTAAGTACTCCTTGCATCAAAATACCTCCTTAAAAAAGGCAATTATATTTCTATAATTATGATGTTACTATGTACAGGACGCAGGTGTATTTTAGAAGCTGGATATATCAAACCACACCCCAAAACCAAATATCTCATTAAAATCTACACCATGATGTTCAAGTAGAGTATTTTTTAAAAGAAAAAGACCTTAGAGGAAAGCTATGAGGGCTGCTCATCAACAGCTTACCGTGACTCAATTCTCATGTTGTGTCCATTGCTCTATTCACTCTAACTATACTTACATGCTTTGGTTCTTTATGATAGTATCTAAAAGAAATTTTATTCTTCCACAGACTTCACACCACAGAATTCAAGAACTAAATAGAGTTTATAAATGAACAGGAAAAATAAAACTATTGAATGTATTCTTTCTCAATTCTAGACCCAAGTAAGAGAAACCTACTGCTGAACCACATTAATTTTTCGTATCTGTTACTCCAAAACTTATGTACTCAGCAGAATAATCTTCATTTTTCCCTAAATCCATGCACAACATACAAAAAACAGATTTCCTAAATACTGAGGTGATCAGACCTTTTAAACCTTTTAAACTACTAAGTTAGTCCTAGTTATTAAATGCTAAAATATAGTGGGTCCTTATTTAAAAGGTAGCATTTTTATCCAAGGCACAAATGAGCAAAAGCTTCTAGCTGGAAACCTTTCTAATGGCCCAGACATCGGTAGAATCATTTCTATGATCATAGAATTAAATGGGTTGGAAAAGACCTCCAAGATCATCAAGTCCAATCCTTGATCACACATGGTCAAGGTTACTAGACCATGGCACTAAGTGCCACATCCAGTCTCATCTTGAAAACCTCCAGGGACGGAGAATCCACCACCTCCCTGGGCAGCCCATCCCAATGTCTGATTACCCTCTCTGTAAAAATTTCTTCCTAATATCCAACCTAAACCTCCCCTGGCAGAGCTTTAGGCCACGCCCTCTTGTCCTACTGCTGGTTGCCTGGGAAAAGAGACCAACCCCCACCTGGCTACAACCTCCTTTCAGGGAATTGTAGAGAGTGATGAGGTCTCCCCTGAGCCTCCTCTTCTCCAGGCTAAACAACCCCAGCTCCCTCAGCCTCTCCTCAAAGGACCTATGCTCCATTCCCTTCACCAGCCTTGTTGCTCTTCTCTGGACCTGGTCCAGCACCTCAATATCCTTCCTGAACTGAGGGGCCCAGAACTGAGGAACACAGCACTCCAGGTGTGGCCTCACCAGCGCTGAGTACAGGGGCAGAATCACTTCCCTGGACCTGTTGGCCACACTGTTCCTCATACAGGCCAGGATGGGTCCTTCAACGCTGAGGCTTGTGCTGGTCAAACCCAATTCTAAAAACTTTTGTTTATCAACTTTTAGGGTGCTGTGTAAAATTCATTAGCTTTCTATAGAAAGGAGTTTACTGCTTTAAAACATCTTAAAGATAAGCAAACATTTGATTTATCAGCACCAAGATAGTTAAGTCCATGTTCTCAGCTCCCCTATTCAACTCCTCTGCAGTCCCAAACAAGCTATAGTAAGATCGTGTCTTAATTTTTCTCTGTAATTGAATACATTTTTTTGCCCAAGATTACTACTAGCAGGATTTCTTACGATACAAAAGAAAGCGAACCATCTAACACCAGGTCTCTGGAAGGACAGAGAGTTGGTCAGGGACAGAGTCATATGCAGATATGTCAGGAAACTTTTTGGAGGCTTTCATCATGGCACAAAGACACAATTTTCCAGATATAAAACTGTTACTTTCCTGTCCAACTTTTTGATCAATGAAATAGGACCATTTAGAGAAAAGTATTTTGATCAAAATATTTTCTTAGCTTGTTTTCCTTTTTGGAGCTGAAAAAGTTTTGGTCAACATAACTTAAGTTCAGCAAGATACTAAGTATATTACATAATTGGAAAAACTACTCAGGCTTAAGTAGAAGCCCTTCTGAACACAAATCCAGCTCTAAGTAAAGCATCTACCCACTACATGGACGTAGCCTCAATCATTATTATAGCTTCGTGGTTATTATGAGGGCTCTAAAAAATTGTAATTGCCACAGCTTTATAACAACTGTTGTCACATACCACACCTTTGGAATACATACAAAGAAAAATTATTTTAGTACTTAGGAAAAAAAAAACCAAACAGCTAGTTTAAGAGACATTACATATTAGGAAAAAAATTGCCTGAATGACAAAAGTACATGATCTTAATGTTCATTATATACTGAAAGAACACTGAGTTATAGCACTCAGAGTTGGTTTGTTCCTTAAAAGCAGTAATTTCTAAGCACATCACTAAAAAATAAGAGGTTTCAGAAGGTCAGGAAATATACTTTAAGATAAATATAGGTCTGGTTAATATAATGGATCTGAAGTGATGCTTTTTCCATTGTCATTAATTGTATTTCCTTTCCTTGTGCTAGCAGTAACTTTTTCCTCTTGTAAACAACTTAAAAAACAAACATGCTGCTTCTTTCTCTCTTGGTGCATTTGAAAAAAAATTCTTTATGCTTTTAAGACTAGAATGACATTCTTATTTGTCACACAGAAATGTGAGTAGTCACATTTCCCAATCAGCTAGAGAAAGCTGTGCAACCAATCCGTATCTCTTACTACCTACCTTCTCAAAGATTGGTATTGAGAGGTATTGTGTAGACTCAGCCAAGAGATACACACACAGCTGCCTATTTCACCTTCACCAAGCCAGAGAGTAAAGGACAACCAGTCACTGTATTGCAAGTATTCCATCAGATATAGCCTGTACTAACCACATTGGTGGGGTTTTGGGTGGTGGGTTTTTTTGTTGTTGTTGTTGTTTTGTTTATGGGTTTTCTGGGGGGAGAATGGCAGTTTGGGTTTGGTTGTTACTTGTTTTGGGCTTTTTTTCGCTCCCTCCTTTTTTTGTTTTTGTTTGGTTTGAGGTTTATTAACATATTCAGACAACCAATAAAAGGCTGTAAACTATGGAATCAGATATCTGAAGTATTGTATCTCATCTATCTATTAGATAACACTAAGCTAACAGGAGTCAAACTGTGTTAGTTATCTTATTAACATTACTACTAAATTCCCCCATCTATATCATAACTGTTTGGAAGGTTATTTAAACAATTTCACATAGTGAGGACACAGAGGAAGGACATAAGAACAAACTCTTGCCTCAAGATTACAAGCTCTGTTTGGTTTATGCAATTTAATCAAATTCTGCTATTTGGTAACAGTTTAAATAAATGTCTCATTCAAGAAGAGTCAACAGAACCTGTACATTTAAAGCCCTGACACCACACAATTCTGTTTAAAAGTGAAATTTACAGAAATCAATAGCCTACAAAAGAAATTAACTTTGAGCGAGTTTCTTGGAATTCACAAGCACAAGGCTCTAGCTGGGAAAGATACACATATGACAGGACACGATGAAAACCAAGTTTAAGTGTTAGTATCTGCCTTCAACTTGCAAAGGCTGATTTGAGAGTTCAATTTAGTAAGCAGAAACTTGGATGAACTAATAACCATGAATTAAGGATAAGGTTCAGAATCTACTTAGGTTACAAACATATTTCAATGGTTGAAGCATCCGTTAAGCAAAAATAAGGATCAGGAGTAATGGCAGACTGAGCTCCTGAGCTGCATTTACAGTATATTCCCATCAGAACTCAGTGATAGGAATTTTTAATTTGTACCTTCTAACCAAAAAGCAAACAGTTGTGAGGAATTAGGGGAATAAGTATGCAGAGCCAGACTAGGATGGTAAATAATGTATATTTGTAACTAGGATCCTGTTCAAATCATGCACTTACAAGGGCTCTACATACCTTTTTAAATAATTACAACAAATTAAGTTTCTAGCCATGTTTACGAGAAGTAAGCTTTCTTAAGCAATTTAAGTGCCAATAAAGTAGATGTGTGCTTCAGGCCCTTTTAATACCCAGAGAAGAAGCCAAAATTTAAGGTCTAGAGTCCTCATACAGTGTGCAAAAAGAATCAATATCTCAAAAGTGATCAAAAAACTCCACATGCTGAGCTTGCAATTTATTGAAACCCAGCCAATGGCAAGCGCTCAGCAGTGGGGTGTGTTTGACCTCCTACCTTTGGGAACACATTTTGCAGAGTAAAGTCTTTTTAACACAAGGCTTCCAACTTACTGGACAAATATTTCAACTGACATGATATTACATAAAGTGGGTACCAGCAAAGCCCAAAACAACAAAGAAATAATAAAAATGCCAGAGTTGGTTTTAAGTTTACAGGGATCCCTTTTCTCCTGGTCTCCCCTCAACTCTAGGCTCTTCCACATTAAAAGCTCTAAGACAAACCCTCTGCTAAAATCTTCATTAACAACTGCCTAATGGTGGGAACTGCTGTGGTAAGTATCAGAAGACAGGAAATATCTTCTTACTCTGGCACACAGCCTACTATTGCCAAGAGGAAAACACCTTTCCTTGAGCTAGCTCTGGGTTTAGCCACATGCAGTCCAAAAGGAACCATCAGAGATTTGGAAACAAAGGTCTAATAAATCTGAAAATGGGCAAAAAATCTCCAAAAGCTGAGTACCAAAATCTGCAGCTAAGGACATGTGAGTTTGTTAAGTCATTATTCTCAACAGTCTTTTTTTTTTATTTCAAGCTTTTAGCATCTACACAAAGATAAATAAAAATAAAGATAAATATAATAAAGATATCTTTGTGATAAAAGTGCACAGTATATAGCAAGGTCAATACAGTGGAAACCTCAAAACAAAAGCATTGAAGGATTTGGGGGCTTTTCTGATACAGAGCAATGAACAATGTAAGAAATGGCTATATTTGCTGCATCCTCAATTCCCTGTACAAACAAAACACTGTGTTGTTGTGGTTAAAACCATGACAAACACACACAACGTGAAGTTTAGAAACAATCTTTATCTTATTCAATCAATCTGATAAAATCTGTTTCTCCAGCCTCCCCTTGCTCATGACAATGTAACTGAGTGGGGAGGGAGGGAAACAGCTGCCTCCACTGACACAGGCAGATCACAACCACTCCAGTTGCGAAGCACTGCTCAGCAGTTGGGCAGTGCGAAGAGACAATTCACATCCCAGCATGTCCCCTAATCCCCACTGCCTTCAGCTGATGTAACATCAGTTTATGACCTGAGCTTGTTCATTCCATGAGTAGGGATCTGTGAACACCATAACCATCTACTCCAGAGAGGGTGATGCAGCTCCTGGCCTCCACATCAGCTGAGCTGAACTCAAACCAGGTTACATGAGATGCAATCAGGTCATGTCTCATCTGAGACAACTGCAGTACAAGATTTGGAGGATGCTGAAGGGAAGATAAGAGGGGCATTTTACAGCCAGGTGCTGAATTGTGCATTCCTGATATATAAGTTTCCAGGTTTGTTCTTGATTCTTTCAATTATTTACTTGATTAAAAAAAATGGTTTCATTACCCACTTTGTGTGAAATAGAGACTCAAACCCATCCTTGCATGAATTCTCCAAGGAAACATCTGCTACCTTTTCCTAACTTCCAAGATTAAATTTCAGTCCAAGATACTAGTTTTGTTTATTTAGTTACAAACACATGGCCCTCATACCAATACCATAGCTTTTCCCATACAGCAGGCAATGTCCCTTGGTAGTCAAGCCATATTTCCCTCTGCAAAAGCTAAATGGCATTCACTTTAAGTTGATATTTCTGAAACAACCCAGCTTCAGTAGCTAAATAAGGCTGTGGGTAGGAAGCCTTCAAATTCACATGTGGCAGGAAGGACTTCAAATCCCTTCCTCTTGGATCAAGAAAATATTCATTTCAGACACTGAATCTGACAGGAAGAAGCAAGGAAGCTCATGGGAATGGGTGGGTGCCCCAACTTCTTTCACCAGGAGAGATGTATGTAAAAGAATGCCATCTACAACTCTAGTTTCTCCAGTTTGAGAATAAGAAGTACTTTAAGGGTAGAGTTAAAATAAATAGTCTTTAGAGAAGCAAGAATACCATATCTTGTAAGAAAATACATTTATTTATGAAGTGATACATTCAACGATTTTTTTTTAAATCAATTGAGTCAGCAAAAATATCTGCACTGGGGTTTATTTGTGTATCAACTATAATGAAATGCCATCTCAGTGTATTTAGAGACAATTTTGTGAAAAGCTTCAGTGTGTTTAATATCTGTATGCATCTGTTACATGTCTGTAAAACAGAGTTTCATGATGCTGAGGCTACAACAGCCACCCCTGTTTAAGGACTTCCATTCCTTTCTTCTTCCTCCAGCCTGCACAACTCTGCTGATGACAATTGCTTGTCGGGTTTGAAGAAGATAAACTGACTAAGCCCCCACTGCAGCCCTTATCATTTTGCCAAATAAATAAGGTGGTGCCACCCAAGCTCCTACCATGGCACTGTGGCTGGCACATAACGGACACAGAAGCTTTGAATACTAAACAGAGTTATCTTCCACAACCAGATATTATTGAGGTGCTCTCTCACTGCATTTGTTAGGGTTGCTTGACTTCAGTATCCAGCTGAAGGAAAGCATTTCCATACAGTTTAGAAGGAGGGAAGAAAAAATGGGGCAGTGATTGAGTCTACCAGCAATTTCCCTCACTTCCCCTAGCACAAACATTACATTCATCAGTTACACACCTGCAAGAATACTGAATGCCTAAATCAAAAGAGAACCGTGACACCACTAGATACACCAGTCTCACAATAAACTAAAAAGAGAAGCCTTTCTCATTTTAAATGTTCTGGAGTTGGGATTGTACCTGCCTATTTAGCCACAGTGCTTGTCAGCGGTGGTCCTATCCCTGGCTAACCGCAGCATTAGTTTCTCAAACCCACTAACACCTGCTAAGGACTAGGACTGAAACCTAAAGCCTGTTTGAGTGGAAATATAAAGACTCTTCCCTCCAGTAAAGAGCTTCCAACCAAAACCCTTTGACAAGGACTTTAAGCCTGGGGCTGCACACAGCTATCAATTTAGGCATCATTTATATTTAAGAGAATGCAGCAAAAAGCAAAATAGAGTTTTTAACAAAAGGTAAACCTTCTCTGCAACTTGCTAACTTAACAAATTTGACAAAACAAGAGTTTGTTGACCCTCAGACCCAGGCTTATCTGTTTGCACAGGGGTTTGTCCGACTGCCACTGCAAAGGTTTAAGGTTCTTTGAGCTTTTTAACTATCAGGTTCTAGTATTCTGCAATACTGCAAGTGTATTTTGTAATGTCAATACACTAGTTTATAAATTTAAAAAGGCAACAAAAATAAGGGGGAAAAAAGACTGTGCTGGATTCGCTTTATATGGGAAGAATTTTTGCTTACATACACACACAATGAAATTTTGTTATATAGGCACACTGAAAATCCAAATGCCTTATGAAAGGACTACTGCAGCACAAATATCAACTTTACCTGTAGTTTAATCTCAAATACATTGTTGAGGAATTCTCTTATTACTATTGCTAATTATTTTTTTTTATTAAGGACATTAGTCTGGAAAACTGGAAAGTCAATATCTCGAAATAAGTTTCTAAGGATATTGCAAAAATTACCCACTTAAAACATTATATAGAGGATACAACTTTATTTGCTGAAGGGGAAACAAGAACTTCGTATTAGAATCTCAAAAGTAGAAAGTTGTAAAAAAAAAACAACAAACAACCGAAAAAAAACCATCTAAACCAAACACAAAGATTTAAAGTGGTAAGGTATTTTAGTTCAGGGAATAAAAGAAAGATAATGTCAGCATCACAGTGTTGCAACAGAAGCAACTAGAAACATGTTTCTGTTAAGTACATTCCTCATATCTATACCACGCTACATCCGTACTTGCCTAAGAAAATAAACTGGCACTACTAGATTAGCCAAACCACTGACATACTACAGCCACCACTACCTTCTTTGTTAATGGCAGAGGTCAATATTCCACACCTGGAAAAATAGGTGGAATGACAGACTAGAGATTATTGCATCCTGAAGCCTAGAGTTTAACTTACCTCGTAAAATAAATATGCAAACTTTGGAGGTAAACTTCTACCTTGGATGAAATCTAAATCAATTTAGTTCTGCTGTTTGTTATGTTTTAAGCAGAAATTAAGATAAGTGTCTCTGGAGAACAAACATTAAAAAACAATAAATCAGACAAGTTAGCAAGAAAGTCATGCAACCACATACACAAATTAAGTTTTATCATGCAGAAAGAGATCAAAGAGCAATAAAGTGAGTATGAGGCTGGAAAGACTTGAGAGAAGATTTAAGCTTTCATTTAATCAGGAATGAATAGAAGAGCTAGAGTGTGCAAACACTAGGTTGCATAAACACCGATGGAAGAGGGTTTATAGTAATGCCAGTGAGCATAACTAGAACAAGAGCAATTAAACTGAGAATGCAAAAATGTAGACAGAAGAGAAGGACAAGCTTTGTGAGAGCAACTTTAGAATACATCATGTTAATCTTTCAAAGGAAGCAATGGAAACATGCTTTTTCAGGAGTTTCAGAACAAGAACAGATAAAAATAAACACACAAGAACTTCAGAGACTAGTCAGCTACTTATAGTCAGAAAGTTGTGTATCAGAATCAGCTGGCAGCCTAGACTCACACATCTATATAGAAAACAGCTGCACAGTTGTACCAGCTCATAGGATGAACGCACCACTTTCACCTGAATTTAAAATTCTTCATTAAAATTGAGCAAAATAGGTGGGTCAGAAAGCTAAGATGACAAACTAGTAAAGAGAGATAATATTGGTAAAAAAAGCACTGGCAAGCACATTCTCAGAGAGTCCAGGTGAGCAAGCTATCCTGATAGTTTCATGCAGAATTTTTTGCACTGTTGCCAGTCATTTTCTGCATTTGGCCAGCCAGAAGCATGATATGACTGTACTTTTAGGAGTCGGTATAAAATTTAATGATCTTATCTGCGGGAACCTTTTGGGTAAGGCGGCACAGGTCGCTATAAAATTTATCTTTTCCAGCACGTCAGTTTGGAGAGTTGGGGCATATATACTAAAGAGGATATGTTGCTTGTTGTGTAGTGGAAGGCGTAAGGAGATAATGTGATCAGAATGAACTGTCAGCAGATTTTCAAGTTTAGGGACAATAGAGTTTTTAATCATGAAGCCAACTCCTGAAAGATGCCTTTTGGTTCTGGGTTTACCTGACCAAAAGAGTGTGTAACCGGCACCCTGTTTTCTAAGGCTGCCTTCCTCATGGAGACAAACTTCACTGAGAGCAGCAATGTCGATGTTGAGATGTAACAGTTCGTGGGCAATTATGGCAGAACGACGCTCAGGACGTCCACTATCTGCAGTATCAAGCATGGTTCTGATGTTCCAGCATGCGAGTGTCAATTTGGGTACAGGTGTATGCTTTTGTCTCTTAAAATTTGTTTGACAGCATCAGAAGATGCCCGTTGGCCATGGTCAACCAACTGGGTACTTTTAAGAGTAAACCAAGGCCATCACAACAATTGTATTACCCTCATGCATGACCATCAGTCTTGGGCTATGGAGGGAAGCCATACAGGAGCTGTAATTGGTCCACCACGCGCACAACTGGCTGCTGATGCAAAATAATGACCGGTTGTGACAAATTCTGCAAGTCTGATTTGACCTAGGCCCTTTTTAAAGTGTCTAATCCATCATCACCATCCTGTCCTTACAAAACTGCATAACATACTGTAGTTCATAAAATCAAGATGATTTTTTTTTCAGGTAGACAAAGCTGATCAACCACATAGTTAACTATCTGCGAGCAGTGGGATGCACCTGTCGCCACCCGTTGCAAACACCATCCTCACCCCACAGGAGGGAGGATGCTCTTTGCCCGGCCGAGGCCGTGCAAGCCCTGCTCCGGCCTAAGAGCACCCGACGGGAGCGCTGCCCAGCCGGGCCAGCACAAGCCAGCCAGGACGCCTCCCGTGCGGTGCTCGTGCTCCGCAGGCGGTCAGGGAGAGTGGGGCAACCAGGAAGGGACCGGCCATGACACACCGGACCACCCCGTGTCCCCGCGCCTGCATCTGCACCTGCCGGGGAGCACCCACATGCGGGACCCGGGGGTGACACCGGGGCGGGACCCGCCGGCAGCAGCAGCCCGGCCACGGGGGTGTGTCCAGGGCGCGCCCGTGACGCCGGCGGGGTGTGAGAGCGGGTAACGCGGCGAGGGGAGGTCGGGGACGCACCTGGTCTCCTGGTTGCTGAATTTCTTGGTGACCACCTTGCCCAGCTCCAGCCCGAGCCGGTCCGCCACCCGCTGGGACAGGTCGTGGTGGGAGCTGCCGCTGAACAGCACGATGTTCGGCATGGCGGGGGCGAGCGCGGGCCGGCGGGCGAGGTCGGGGCTGCGGCGAGAGCGACAGAGGAGCGCGGGGACCGCGGTGCGGGGCCAAATAGCCGCGGTGCGGGCCCGCCCCCGCCCCGCCGCCCGGAGCGGGAGGGACCGGGGCGGGGCGAGCCGGGGGCGCCGCGGGGCACAGGTAACGCCGGCGGCCCCAGCGGCCACGGGGGGGCCCTGCTCCTCCTGCTCCTCCTCCTTCACTTCTTCTACGTCCCGAGCCCCAAGCCCAGGTGCCCCCCCCAGCTGCTGGCCTGCCTCTGAAGCAGCACTCGGCCGGGCTGTGCCTTAGGCGTGCAGAGCTCTGCCTGCGCTTCGCTCCCGCACTTGAAGGGAGGCACGAAGGGAAGATCCTCACAGGAGCTCGGCTGCCTATGGGAATATGTGGTTCAGGTGACACCGTCACCTAAAAAAAAGCAATTGCCGAATACAGCTATAGGTAGGTATGTGTTTAGTTAGATCCGTATCTAACTAGTTTTACTTATCAGAGCTGTCCTTAAATAACCCACGACCGATTCTATATACACACTGTTCATTTTCTGCTAACACGTTTTTGTCGATTGTTGCTTAGAAATAAGCTCACGAGCAAACTGCTGTCTGAAAATTGACAAAGACAAAAAGGTCTTAGTAGCTTTCAGGTGAGCTGTTTTAGGTTGTATGTATACAAATAAATAAATTGCATTGGATAAGTGACTTCAGAACTTTCTCAGTTTTCCTGCCTTAAGCAAACCTTTGCCTCAAGGAGCAAGGTCTTGAACACATGTTTAATATTGTTCTGTCAGTAGGATAATTCATGACTAAATAAACACCTGTGTTGCATAGTTCACTAGAACAGACAGTTTTAGAGCTGCTCAAAAAGTCCCATCGGTAATTTTTCAACCGAACACCGAATTCCAGTAAGTAACTTTCTCAATTAAAAAAAAATAAAAATCCAAACCAAGCAAGTTTATGTCCCAAATCAAATGTTTTATTTAACAGCTGGGTAGTAAATGGTTTGGGTTGGGGAGTTAGGGACTAATAGTTTGCATTGCTGTCATTCCCATTCTCTGGTGGTCTATATACTTGCACAAATCATAGACACTTCTTGCTAAGTATCACGTCATTGCAGAGGCAATATAAACAAGGGATGCAGCTTATGGACAAGGATGGGAAAAATAAGTATTGTGACTTATCACAGCATAATTCCAGAATTTATTCCAGTGTTTGATACATTGCTAATACCTCAGCATATGATAACTGTTTAGTGGTCCACTTACTCTTTGTCCTCTTTGTATTTTCTCTTTATGCAATGAAAAATAAATTTGTTTAACTGTCAGCACTGTAGGCTCATAAAAGCATCTCAAGGTTTAACCTGTGATTCTTCCAGTTCATACATCCTCTTCAACAACTAATTTTGTAGGCTACATTTTATTCTGAATTACTTGCAACTCCAAATTTTGTCCACTGTCCCAATTTTGTTGTGATTTTTAATATTGGTTATTCTAAAATCTTTAGCTTCTATGACAGGACATCTAAGGTTCTATTAAGACTGCAGATTTCAAATCTGTGAAAAAGAAAATTTGCTTCTATGACCTCAGGATTATCAGAACAAAAAGCATTGCTAGACAGAAAAGGGCAATTTAACTTCAAAATAATATAATAAAGGAAAACCATACTTCATTATTGACTCAAAACAACACCAGAACTTTTAAAATGGACTGTAAAATCAGAAAAAGACAGAAAACAACAAACTTAATATATGTTTGTCAGTACTGAACCTTACAATGAACTTGGTGATTGTCATGACCCCCTCCCTTTTCTGTTTTTGTAAGGTTACCAGTTAAAACTCTTGTCCCCACATTTAGTACATATTCCATTATTTGATGGCTTAGTGAGATGCCCAGACAATTCTTTTCAGTCTACTAAGACTTTTGTGCCCAACAGCTAATTAGTGTTTATTCAGTAGCTACAATATAGAAACTGCAGTCATTAAAACTAGCTGTGGAGGCTGTAATACAAAAGAAATAATGCTGATTGACATGCTGAGTATGATTATCTTTCCTTTGGTTGTGATAGACTAAAATAGTAGGCCAGAATTCAAAAGTTAGTGCCATCCTCACTTGAAGCTTTGTACTATTCTAGAGAAAAAAAAAATTACTCTTTTGATTCAATGAGAACAATAAGGAAAATACCTGCCTAACAGCAGAAAGTAAAACTTTCAAGAGGAAATTGCTTTCTTCCTTTTATCATCACATTGTGGTTAGAAACAGTCATGCCCGATATATGATGTAATAATCAGCAAAAAACAAGAAAACGCTGTTTTCTGGTAACAAGTTGTCAGTAAGTATTGGTCAATTTAGCCAGGACAAAGAGTGAAACAACTATGAGTCAGATGGACCTGAGAAAGCATATGTAATTCTGCTCCTGCAACAGAAAGCAATTCCAGCAAAGGTATGAGAGCCAAGGAAAAATAAGAGTCTTTTAAATATCAGAAGCAGAAATTGGACTACCAAGAGACTTTGATTTACATAAAACTGAAAAATTTCTGCCCATCTTGCTTTCTCTGCAGTGCAGTTTTGCAAATCTTACCATACAGCTTGCTCTATGATTCTCCTTCCAGTTCCCATACTAAAAATTGTTACACCCTGAAAAAATGTCAAAGTAACTCAGGGCTTTTGTAGTTTTTGTGTCACAATGACTTCTGACTATTTTTTTTCTCTTTCTGATTACAAAATATCTTTATGGGAGAAAAAATCAGTTGGGAAAAAAAAATCAGCCTTTTAAAACTACTGACAAAATCCCTGTTGGATCCGTGGAAATACAGTCTGAATATCAAGGTGCTTCATTCCTTCCTTTCACAGTCATAATTTGTAAAAGAATCCATTGACCAATTTCTGCCCTCAGTTACATCATTTAATTATCAAATGTTAGCAAATCGTGGCTCTGGTCTTGAAAGAGTTGATTGTGAAAAATCTGAGATTTAAAATAAGCAGTTTCAGGCTATTTTTGTTGTGTGTATTTTTAACTGTTGGTGTACAGTTGAGTGATGATTTCAAGATTTTCTCAGAATCTTCCTTAAAAAAAAAAACAAATAAAAAAAGCTAATATTTGCCTCTAATCACGTCTTCAAGAGCTTTGACTTGAAGAATAAACAGCAAATATTAGAGGCCTTGATATGGAATAGCAGCAGCTGACAGCATTACAGTCACATCTGTCCAAACATGTTATCTCTGCATTTTGAGACCTGTGATTCTATTGTTTTCAAATGCTGATCTGGTTCTTCCAAAGCTTGTTCTATCCTGCAAGTATAAAAACATAAAAAGTTGTTAAATGAATAATCCCACTGAGAAAGCATAAAATTTTGTCATAAACCCCCTATAGTTGTTCCTACTGCTCAGTAACTTACCATTTTCATCATGATCTGGGCCACCCACAGCTTCCAAATTCCCCTCGACGTACCCAACTTCCACACAGCTCCAGTAATCTCCCAGCTGTCTTCCAAATCTCCATTGCTTCCTTACTTGGCTCTATGGCTTCCAATGATCATTTCTAATGTTACCTCTGGATATTTTCTGAATACTGAATATTTCAGCTGCTGCTTCTATTTCAGATCCACAGGTCTATGATGTACTATTCAGCTGCTATTGAAATCTCTTTGATCACTTAGCTCCATTTTTCTTTGTCAGCAGATCCAGCTCCTACTGTCTCACCCACTTTATTCTGTAAAAGAGCTTATTGCCTTCTTACATTTCTTCTGAAGGAAGACACTAAGCCAAACACCTTTCATAAATTTCTTCTAATGTGCATCATAACACACCTTTCTCAGCTCTAATCATCATCTAACATATGCACCTTATACAATGTATGATCAATGGAGAGAAAAGAAAGAATTTTTAAATTTCAGGTTACGTAAATTTAACTGTTCACTGCATGCTTTGTTATCTGGACATTTTCACATCAATGGTCTAGACTGTTCTTAGCCCCCTACTTATCTACACAGTGATGTTCTCTGCTTCTCTAACAGATTTTCTCTTAGACTGACTTTGATTGACCAACAAAAAAAAATGTCTTTTGCTGCTGAGAAACCCAGAAAACTCACCACTATTTTTCCAGTCTGATCTTTGGTGGCCGTGTTTCAACTATAGTAAGCAATCATTTTGTTATTCTTGTAGCTAGGACAAGCTACAAAACTTAAATATATATGCCACCTCATAATGCTGCAGTTTTCCCAGACATCTTACAAAGTACCTTTCAGGTACCTTTCAAGATTCTTATATCTAAAACAGTACTATCTGCGTTCTGTTTGTCTTGAGCATAAATCTTCTGCCACATAACGGTAGCTAAAATGGTAAATTGAAAATATTTTTTAGGTAGTGTAGATATTGCTCTTGTTTTGTTCTAGCAGTTTAGACTGGGATCCTTCCATTTGAGTTTCCGGTGAACCATGAAACATTTTAATTTTTGCAGGGAGATTTAGTTCCTATTACTAAATGATTTCTCAACTTTTTCAATGAAAACAACCATATACTGTTTAGATTCCTTTTCCCCCCAGGTGTTTACTTCCAGTAAACCTCTTTTTTTAATTCCTTTTCACTGTTTTTTCCTTTCTGCCATGATTTTGCCCACTTGAACATCAAAGGAACAGTAGCTCATAATCTTCATCTGTGAATACTACATCTCAGCATAGTACCAGGGCTTTTAACTCTGATTCCCCCAGTTAGACAACTGCCAGTCTTCAACATCTTCTGTGTTACCACATGCCTGAGTAAATAAAGGCAAGATAGGAGACTAATCTTGGAATTAAACAAGCATTAGGGATTATTGGAGAAAAAAAGCATATCAATGCCAAGGTAAGGTGGAAGTATAGAGCCGATCTTTATATATCATCCATTCAGGTATCAGAGGCAAAAGACCAAGACTCTCCAGAAGACTGTTTTCTACCCCTCTAAAAATAGCCTAGTTCAAGATAAAAGATCAAAGATTTCTGTTTCTTTTGTAAGACAAAAGCTTGTGCATTCTGCTTCAGGCTAATTTAGAAAATTTTATCTTGTCTTGTATGCATCTTG